CGCCTTGGTCTGGTCACTGGCACCGCTGACCTCATTGCTCTCGCCATCATCGCCTCTCTCATCTTCTCCAACCCCCGCTGCTTCCTCCCTGCCCTCAATTCTCCCCTCGCCTCTCACTCCCCCTCTCCATCCTGTGTGCCTGCATTGCTCCCACTCCCCCTCTCCATCCTGTGTGCCTGCATTGCTCCCGCTCCTCCCTCTCCCGTCCCCTTCACCCTGTTCTACCCCCCCATGTGTTCATCGGTTGCGCTCCCCTCCTCTCCCCCACTCCCCCTCCCTGCACGTGTGAGGGCAGTCTGGCGGTGGAGAAGGCCATGAGGGCGTGGCTCAAGGAGCGCCGCCTGGGCCGCACGCGCAGCTCCAAGGAGCGCGGGGTGCGTTGCTCGGGGGGTGTGCGTTTAGGGGTGATCAAGCGGTGGGAAAGAGAGAGAAATGGTGGGGGAGGGTTGAGTGAGCATTGAGGTGGGCAAGATAGAGTGGGCAGCAGCCGCCTCGTCTTCACTAGCCCCCCCCCACCCCCGCCACATCCCTCCCAACAAGCTCAATGGCGTTGAGCGTCCCTTTTCTCCCTATCGCTTCTCCTCCGTGTCACTTCCTGCAGTGAGGGTGTTTTTGAGACGTCTCAAAAACACCCTCACTACACGTCCTTTTTCTCCCTATCGCTTCTCCCTATCGCTTCTCCCTATCGCTTCTCCCTATCGCTTCTCCCTATCGCTTCTCCTCCGTGTCACTTCCTGCTCCCCCGGTCTGTCTCACCTCCCGGGGTGTCTCACATGTCCACTGTGTGTTTCGGCTCCCCTTTCCTCATGTGATGATTATGTTGTCATCTGGGCAGGCGCAAAGGGAGATGATGAAGGTGGACACTCAAGTGCGCCTCTGTGTGAGTGCTCCTTCCCCTTCTCTCCCGGCGTCCCTTTTCTCCCTGCCTCTCACTGCCTCCACTGCCTTCCTTGACCCATTATGTTTTTGAACCACATTCGTATCATACCATGCAGCTCTGCTTCTTCCTAGCTTTTGCCCTCCTGTCGTTGCATTACAACGCTCATGGGTTCGCCTCTGTGTCTGTGTGCTTGTGTGTATTTGTGCCTGTGTGCATGTGCATGTGAGTACATGTTCATATACCTGTCTGCATGTTGTTATGTGCATGCATGCATGTGACCAGCAACTATGGGACCAACTACGAGGGCTCCCTCCGGGCGAGCACCCCATGGGATCAGAGCACTACGGCACCATCTACGGTATCCAACCCATTCCACTCAATCCCCCCACTACTCCCCATCCCACTCTGCCCGACCCCATCCCACCCCATCCCACCCCTCAACTCTCCCCCCATGCTTTCCCTCCCTCTTGCTCTTCCCTTCTAACCCCTGAATTTGCCTTCTCAATCCTGACCGTTCAACGCCTCAAGCATCATGTGCTGTGCGGTGCGGAGTGGCATGCAGGCATGATCGAGTCGGACCCGGAGGGCTTTGGGGGCTCCAGCTTCCTCGCGTGCCTGGAGGAGAACATCACCATCGTACGCCCCTCCCCTCCCCTCCCCTCCCCTCCCCTCCCCTCCCCTCCAATCCGCACCCCTACCATTCCCTCCCCTCCGCTCCGCTCCCGTCCCCTCCCCTCCCCTCCCCTCCCCTCCTGCTCTTCACCCACCACCGTCTGCATATCTCCCTTCCTGAATGCCTACCTTCATGTGGTGTCTTTTTCTGTCTCCACCGCACCCCGCTCAGCCGTTCACATCCTTTGCTCCCCAATCTCTCACTCATACACCCCACCTACTCTCCCCTCCCCTCGCTATGCCTGCCTGCCTGCCTGCCTGACTGCCTGCCTGCCTGCCTGTCTGCCTGCCTGTGTGGTGGCGTGCAGGGGTGGTCGGGCGAGCTCACTCGCGAGATGTTCATGGCGTGTCGCGAGCTGGTGAGCGCCTGGGGAGAAGGGGGGTGACGAGCTGGGGCGACGGGTGCTGAGGGGCTGGGGCATGGCATGGGGTGGTGATGATGGTGAGAGGAGTGGGCGAGGGGTTGTGTGCGGCATGCGTGGGAGAGGCACGAATGAGTGACGCCATTCATTCCCATTCCAAATGCTCTCTCTCCCACCCCACCCTCTCCTCCCCCTCCATCCTCCCCCATCTCACTCCTCACTCCTCACTCGTCCCTTAACCTGCCACCTTCCCCCCTCCTCTCTCTTCGCTCCCACCACCAGATGCTGGTAGCAGCGGCGAGGGCGGGGGAGAGGAGGGACTACCAGGTGGCGGGGGGGTTGTTGGAGATAGCGGGGCGCATCTACTTCCGCGACGAGTTCGGCATGCTCGACTTCATGCGCCGCTACCTCGGCTCCCTGCACGTCTGGCATTCGCAGGCGTGAGTGATTTTTTTAGGCGCCTAAAAACTTGTCTGACTCGCAGGTGCGAGTGGCTGCCTGCCAGACTGCACTGCAGCACACCCACAGGGAGAAGCGTTCTCAGCAGTTTGATCTCGTCATTGCCACTCGTGTGTCAACACCTGGTGCTCCTTCTATCTGTCCAACCTCTCTCCATCCTGCCCTGTCATGCCCCTTACCCCCATGTATTGTCGCTGCAGCCTGTGGGACGAGCTGTTTGAGCAGCGCATGCAGGAGCTTGGAGAAGAGTAAGCCATTGCTCCCCCCTCTCCTCCCTCTCTCTCATCTACTCTGGTTCTGTGCGCTCCTCCCCTCTCCCTCCCTTACCTTAGTTGAATGCTTTTTTCATTTAGACTGTGCAACGTCTCCGTGGTGCTGCCCACCTTGGCATCATCCTAAACCCACCACTCATCGTCACACCTTCCCCACCTTTGCGTCAACCCCCCACCTCCCCACCTCTTCATACCTTCACCTGCCTCCTTTCCCCTTTCCCCCTCCCCCCTGGCCCTTTGGCCCCCTCCCCCGTCCCCTTTCCCCCTGGTCTCTAACAGTTCCTTTGGCAACTACTCACAGATGGTCATGCTTACACTCAAGGCCTGCGCCTTCCACATGGTACCCCCCCCGCCTCCCTTCTTTCCCCTCCCCACCCCCTTTCCTTCCCCCGCCCCACCCGCTTCTCCCCTGCCCTTTCCCCCCTACCCCAACCCCCCCCCCCCCCCCCCCATTCCTTCATTCCCCGGTCCCCCTGTGGTCGGCCTCACAGCCCGCCTCTCCTCAACCACATGTCCATGACCATGTCCATGACCATGTCCATGCCATGCCTGCTCTCTAGACTCACGCCCTCCAACGCTCACTACACCCTCACTGCCACGTGCAAGTTGCCTTCCTCCGTTCCTCCCTCCATTCACCCCACTCCCCTGCTCACAGGTGGAGCTGGGCATAGCGGACAAGGAGACGTGGAAGGTGCTGCAGCACATGCGCACCCTCTGTCCCTCTGTCCATTCACTCCCATCCCGCCTCCCATCCGCCCCCTCCTCCCCTCATGGCAGGTGGAGCTGGGCATGGCGGACAAGGAGACGTGGAAGGTGCTGCAGCACATGCGCACCCTCTGTCCCTCTGTCCATTCACTCCCATCCCGCCTCCCATCCGCCCCCTCGTCCCCTCATGGCAGGTGGAGCTGGGCATAGCGGACAAGGAGACGTGGAAGATGCTGCTGCACCTCGCCAGCGAGCACGGCCTGCGGGAGAAGCGCCAGGTGCCGTGCCGCTGGAGGGAGGGGAGACGGGCACAGATGGGGTGGGGGAGGTGGCTGGGGAGGGGGGGTGGATGAATGAATGGCTTGATGGGTGAATGGTGGATGGGTGGAGCTTTCATTCATTGCAGGGAGCAGCTGTCAATGCGTAGCGATGGGTGCGCAGCACAACACTCACACATTCTCCCTGACTTTCATTCCCCCTGAATTTCATTCCCCCTCTCGTTCCGCTTGTACAGCCCGCCACACCACCAATCAGCACCATGCTCCCCCAAAAGTTCCCCCTACCCTCCCCCTCTCCACCCCTCTTCACCGCAGAACCTCCTGCGAGGGCAGCTGTCGCTGATCCAGCTCAAGTTCCGCTTCTATGGCCCGCCGCGCCTGGCGCTGATGATGGCGCTGGCGCCACGCATCGCCCCCAAGATGGAGCAGGCCGCGCGCCTCAAGAGCGCCTCCACAGCCGGGGGGGTTGGGGCAGGGGCGGACGGCATGGCGCGAGTGGATAGTAATAACACGCTGGAGGGGGAGGGGGGGGGCGCGGTGCAGCATAAGGGTCTGGCGCGGAGTAAGAGCAAGGCGGGGCGGCGGGGCGTGAACTTTGATGTCGGGGGGAAGGGTGTGCCGAGTAGCACGCCCAAGGGGGGAGGTGCAGGGCCGACGAGTCCGAGGGGACGGGGCAAGGCGGATGGGCTGGAGCGGCGGACGGACCGTCTTATGAGAGCAGGTGGGGGATGGTTGACTTTTGAGACGTCTCAAAAACCGCCATATGAGAGCAGGTGGGGGAGGGTTGCACTGCAGCATCTGCAAGACCACTTCCTCTGCCGCTCTTGTCCTGGCTCAACATGACCATGGTCAGCGTCAATAGTGTCAGCACCATCCCATCACAATCACACCTTCCCACATCAGCACCTTCAAAGCCTCTCCCTCTCCCTTCCCCATCCCCCTTAACCCCCCTCCCCCTTCCGCCTTTCTGCGATCCTTTCCACTGCCCCCATCGCCCTGCCACCCTCTCCCGCACCCCTGTGTGACTGTGTCTGCGCCCCTCAGAGCCGGTGCAGCAGGCACGGAGGGAGGGCGAGGCGGGCGTGCGTGTGCTGAGGGGCCACAGTGCAGCGGTGACAGCACTGCATGTGGGGTCGGTGAGCGACCTGGGCGACCTGCTCTCCGGCTGTGATGATGCCGGCTACTTCGTCTCTGGCTCTGCTGACCGCACTGTGAGTGCATGCCTGCGCTCATTGCACCGTGACTTGCTGTCTTTCTCACAGTGCTGCGCGCGCACAGTGCAGCGCTGACGGCCCGCTCTCCACTGTGATGATGTGATGCCGGCTACTTCGTCTCCGGCTCTGCAGACCGCACCGTGAGTTACGGGAGGTGCATGATCGAATCCACTCTGAGTTGATGCCTGCTGTCTGCTGCTGCTGCTGTGAGGGCATGGATACGGTGCTGTGGGGTCATGGCGCCCCGCGGGTGGTGCTGACTGCATCCCAGCTGGAACATTGGCTGGAAGGCTGCTTGTGCAGTGAGTGATTCATGCCTTGTGCTGTACGTTCAGGGTCATCCCCTGTCCGGACTTCTACCATCTCCCTATCCCCTGATCTCTCCACTCTCACCATCCTCTACCCTCCACCAATCTGCCTTTCTCAATTGCCGCTCTCCCGTCTCCTCCGCCCCTCCCAATCCCGCTGTCTGCCCTCTCTCGGCACATGTGTGGGCCGGCAGGTGAAGCTGTGGAGTGCCAACCGCGTGGGGGCGGAGATGCGCGCCACCATGCGCGGCCATGAGGGGTGCGTGCCGGGCAGGGCACATGGGGAAGAGGGGGGGTGTGCATGGGGCTTGATGGGTTGCATTGCAGGGAACGGGGTGTTGGGTGCGGAGAGGGAGTAGCTGTGCAGTGCCAACCGCGTGGGGGCGGAGATGCGCACCACCATGCGCAGCCACGAGGGGTGCGTGAGGGGGGGGGGGCATGGGCGGGGGGTGTATGGGGAGTGGAACGGGGGTGCATGGGGGGGGCCTGCATGGGACAAGGGTTTTGAGATGGGAGAGGGTGTGGAGTAAAGGTGGGGGAATGGGGCACTCTCAGAAAGCCAGCAGGGTGCGCACTCACTGCTGCTCCCTGCCCTTGCACCTTCACATCTACATGCCTCCACATCAGATCTCCCCGCCATTCCTCCCTGCTGCCTCATTCCTGCGCTCACACCCTGCTATCTCATAAGCTCACCCCCCCTCCAAGTCCCCACTTCTCCCATTTCCCCCCTTAATCCCTCACAGCACAGTGCGCGCCATCTCATCAAACGCGAGCAGCATTCTGTCGGGGGGAGACGACTGCAAGGTGTTGCACTTTGACAAGCGCACCTCGCTGCCCCTCGCCACTCTCGACGCCCACACCGCTCCTGTAAGAACCTGCTTTGATTTCTGGCGCACCTCAGAAGTAGAAATTCTCACCGCCCCAGTGTGTGTCTGTGTTGGAAACCCGCCCTTGTGAGTGTAAACGTGGTGTGCTTTTCCCCCTGATCCCCATCCCACTCTCCCGCCTTCCCCTCTCCCCAGCTCTCCTGTGTGCGCTTCCTGTCGGGATTCGCACGCAGTGCAGTGGTGACAGCGGTCCTCGACGGCCTAGTGGAGGTGTGGGACATGCTTCTCTGCCACGCATCCACTCTCTTTCCCCCCTTTTCCCATCCCACTCTCCCCCCGCCCCCCTTCCCCCCCTTCCCCACCAGATCTCCTGTGTGCGCTTCCTGTCTGGCTTCGCACGCAGTGCGGCGGTGACAGCAGGTCTCGACGGGCTGGTGGAGGTGTGGGACATGCGCTCGCACCGCCGCGCGCTCACCGTGGCGCAGCCCGCACAGGGCGCTGCAGTGCTGTGCCTCAGCTGGCACGAGGACGCGGGGGGGCTTATCGCCACGGGTCACACTGACGGGTACGTGCTCTGTGACTCGTCCCAAAACCCATTATGGCCCAACCCGCACATGACGGTGCAGTGCTGTGTATCAGCTGGCACGAGGACGCAAGGGGGCTCATTGCCACGGGGCACACCTATGAAATGTAGGAGGACGGGGGCCCGTTTATTGGCATGGGGCGCCCTGATGGTTACGTGTGTCACTGGGCTGGGCCTGAGAGGTGGGCACACCAGTGGGTACGGCCATGTGCTGCTGCTGCATGGCTCTTAGCATAGTCCACCCCATGCCTTGTGTGCACTCCTCCCCTCCCTCCTCCCCCCTCCCTCCTCTCCTCATTTCTCTCCTTGCTCCTCTCCGTGCACCTTAGCTGCATCTCCCTTCAGCTCAACCCTGCTTGCCCACCTCCCTAGCCTCAACCCCACCTCTCGTCTTCTCCATCCACTCCCCCATCATTCGTCACTCCGGTCATCCCCCCCCCTCTCGCCCCCTCTCCCCCCTGTTGCCCCGTCTTTCCCCCCATCTCAACCTCCCACGTGGCAGCACGGCGAGGGTGTGGGACATGAGGGCGGGCAGGGAGATGCATTTCCTGGAGGCGCACAGCAACTGGGTCAGGTGCGCCGCTCTCACTGCCGCACTCTTTTTTGTGGCAATCGCATCACGTGCGCAGGCCTGGCACTGCTGTGTGCAGCACTTTTACCATCACGTTGCAATTCACCTTTCTCAGTTCCCTCCACTTACTTCCCATGCTCTTCTTGCTGTCCACCACACTTCACCCACCTTTCCTTCTCCTCCCCCACATGAACTCTCCCATTCTCCCCCCCGCATGACTACGTGGCAGCTGTGTGTTGGTCAACAAGGACATCATCATCACGGGCAGCCACGATTGGACGGCCAAGATCTGGTCCGTGGAGACGGGCGACTGTGAGAAGATCCTGACCGCGCATGGCGGCGCAGTGAGCACCATGGACTACTGCACATCATCACAGCGCCTCGCCACCGGGTCGGCGGACGGCATGGTCCGCATCTGGAAGAAGGAGGAGGGTGAGTCTGTGTGTGTGTGCCGCACCGCATGGAGTTGGTTACAGACTGGACGAGCTGCCTCGGAGTGGCATGGTCGTGGCACCGCAAATCCACAAAAAAGAGCCCGGTGCTTGTTGTGGCTTGCGTGGCTACATGGTCCCTGTCGTGGCTGAAGTTGAAGTTCTCGCATAGAGCCATACCCACACAATTCCCATCTTCCTCTCCCGATTCCTCCTCCTTTCCCGTCTTCTCCCTGATTTTACCCCGCATCAGACCAGTACATCCCTCAGGAGACGAGTGGGTCGTCATCATCGGAGGCGGTGGTGGCGGTGAGGCTGATGGACGAGGTCACAGGCGTGGCCACGGCCAGCAACCAGCTCATGTTCCTCGAATTCACCGACGCTGATGGCCGCGTTGGCGGCACCGGCAGCGGCGGCGGGGACCCGTCCACCTGGGCTGTCAGCAAGATGGTTTCCAACATGCCCGATGTGGTGAGCCGAGATGCTTCCCCCTTCCACAGTGTTCTGTTGCGATTTATCGAGAGCTCACCCCTGCCCATGCCATATGATTCTATCTGTCACTCCCTTTCCAACTCCCTTGCCATTTCCCCTCTTCCTCTTACCCGCCCTTCTCCCCACCTCCCCCCCCATCCTCCCCTCCTCCCGCCCTTTCCGAAGGTGCGGCATGTGGCAGTGGATTTGGACTATGGCCGCATGTGCAGCGGCTCGCACACGGGCGCCATCCGCATTTGGGACGCATTCCCTGAGGCTGCAGGGGCGGCAGCGGCGGCTGTTGCAGCAGGACTGGGAGGTGTGCCGGCAGCAGCAGCGCCCAGCAAGTACGACCTCACTGGCGTGTGGGACAGCTTGGACACTTCTGCGGCGCCGGGGTGAACATTTGCGAAGTTCCTAGTTCACCCAGGAGCAATGAGCATTTTCCTGTGAACATTTTACTCCAAGCTGGTGCCAAATCGTATTGTGGTGGTGGTGACATTGAGTCCCTCACCTAGCCAGTTCACTGCTGTCTACGTAGTTTTGCTTTGATTAAAGCAATTACTTACGTTATAGCAAATGACACAAATTGACTTGTATCGAGATTGAGGTTTTCAATCAAAAATGTGTTCGTGACGCGGTCAAACTTAGTCGTGTGGTGTGCACTGAACTAGTCTAACCAGTAAAATGGCTTCAAATCGCATTGCTGGGCAGAACCTTGTCCCGTCAGCATGGATTGCCACGGGGGCGGCGTCATGCGGCGAACAGTTGACCTCCGTTGCGGTCCGGCCGGGTGCGGTGCGTGCGAGCAGCGGCGATATTGCGGGCAAACAGGCCAAATCTGATGTGGCAGGGAGGACGTTTGACAGGCTGCGTCGAATGTGATCGGAGCAGTTGAAGTGGCGCCTTGCGGTTCCCTCTGGCCTCCAGCGGGAGGAAGGAGGGGATGGAGCGGCCTGAAAAGCTTGGTGGTTCACCGAAGCATCACCACCAGGCAATTCGCACACACAGCCGCCTCAAGCTTGCTCTAGGTTTATGATATGGCACGCGCTTACTTTTCGAGACAACCCATCTTGGCGCGTGTTTATCCTCTGATCCTAGGTTTAGATCCCAGCTCAATGCTTTTCCACACAGGTTAAGGCTCGCGTCTATATTACTGAGATTCTCTGGACTTCCAGCTTTGCAAAACGACCGTCGTTACGCCGAAGACCGCAGCCGGATGCCATGGCTGCCGTAGGACTCATCCAAAAAAAAAAAGCCCCTTCCGAAGCTTTAATCAGCCTCAAAGGCGACATTCGCACTCAGTGCGTTGCGTCTCACAAACCGTCGAACCTAGAGACTCCCCTTCGCAGCCGCGTGGAGGACGTCGAGGTGCACGCGCTCGAGTGCCGCTTAGAGCTGCTCAACGCGCAGCGCGAGCTCACCGCCATGCGATGCCAGCAGTTCATCCGCTCGCTGCGCGACTCGTTCGAGGAGGCGGCTGCGTCTAACGCGAATACTCCATCCGCCAATCTTTCCGCTTACAACTGCAACGCAACGTTCACTGAGAGGAGATGGAGCGGCGCCGAGAGTCCCTCCCCGCGCGCCGATTGCCATATAAGCGCCGCGTCGAACGGCGCTTCGTGCTCCGCGGTGGAGATTAACTCGGAGTCGGAGAGTACAAGCTCATCGAACGAGGACAATTCAGACGACGAGTTCGAGCGCGCCAATCGACGAGCCTTGGCGTCGCTCTCGTCCTCGCGAAGTCCCCACTCCGGCGCCACGTCATCTTCCTCCATTCCCGGTGGAAACCCAAGCGTGCGATTCGCGTTCTCTAAGCCGCTCTGCGAGTCGTTAGACTGCCGCAGCGAGAGCGGGCATTGCATTGTAACCGCGTCTGTGCGAAGCCGGTCAGCCCGGTGGATGCATAGCGCTGCAATGCCAGCGGGAAATCGTCTTGATGGCGGTTTGGAGTCTGAAACTGCCTCGCCTGGCGTTGCTGCTGCGCGCTGCCACTCCGCGCGATGGGCAAAAGACCTTCGGTTCTACGACAACCCTCTTCCTCGTCGTCGGTGGACTTCGCCAGCATCTTCGCCGTGCGAATCACCTCACACGCATCGCATGCTTCGCTCATGTAACACGTCGCCCAGCCCCCAACTGGATAAGCTCGTTGTACCTCGGCCTCGGAATCCAAGCAAGAAAACACACCAACGTACAAGTCTACAATTCACTGGCAACAGCAGCAAATCGAGTCAGTTTCGGTTTATGTAGACTGCTTTGTTCAAATTACTATGCCAAGGATTTGTTTATTCAAATTACATTGCTTTGTCACACAGTGTCATCGTGATGTGCAAGACAGTGTCAATAACCACTTCTGAGGCCTTGCGTTCTTCTTTGGTGCTGTAGTAATGCCAGTCATACTTTGCATCTCAAACGTGTACCCCCTTCATTCTTTTACTGCTGATGTACCTGCTTAGAATGAAACTACAATCTTGTAATGGGCTTGCCTTCCCGCACGTTTCACGCTGAGACTTCTGTTTCCGGGGTAAAAAAAACGCAACAAGCACACCAGAGTAGCTTCGACTCCTGTTTTCTGGTCCAGCAAACGCAGAGAGCACATAAGAGTAAACCTGAGACTCCTGTTTGATGTTTTTTGCAGGGTTGCGCAAGAACCGCTACCAGCCGCCAGTTCGTTCAATGGTGGCGCTTGTAACATAGCCGCGGTAGAATCGCGGCGCAGCATGAGAACAAAAAACAGGAGGGCTACTAACATAACTGGGTTGACAGGTATGGGCTATAGCTACCAGCGGAAGCTGATTTGCGCGCAACCCCGAGACGAGCCGGGGTAGGCTTCGGTGATGCTCGCGTCAGCCTGACGTAAGCCCCCCTTGCTCATGGCTACCTCGCACATGTCTGCCGGGCGCCCCCGCATGCCAAGGCTGGCATCGCATCTTAGAAGGATTGAATGCCACGAACGAGCATCGGAGATTACATCGTGGGCTGTGGCGAACGTATGCGTAACGGTATTTAGTTGGAGAATTCGTGGATTTTAGAAGCTCAAAACCTCTTCTTGCCGAGTCAGTCTATGTCAGGTGGGAGTCATCCAGACCAGATGTTCGGTATCCTGCCGAAGAGCTGGCGGCGCTGACTGGTTCAATTCAAAACGAAGAATGGTGTGCTGAGCAAAGACTGCAGGTCGCCTCAAGCACCTAGGGGGAGCAGTAGATTGGAACAGATGCAAGGGGATTCTGGCGATGGTGGTGCGGTGCATGTGATCATCTCAGTACTTCACATGTTGCCAGTTTGCACCAGGCTGGGAGGGAGATAGGTGCAGTGCAGAGGAGGGGAGGGAGGGATGGAGGGAGGGAGGGAGCATGGCGTAGCAATCACAGTCGAGTGTGCCTATTGCGAGCTCCTTGCCTGGTTGGATTTTCCTTTGCTGGACATGGGGGGCTGGAAGGAACATGTGGATGCGAAATCCAGTGAACTTCTGTGGAGGACGCAGTACGGTTGCTTGATTCGAGAGTTCACAAAAATTTGTATTGCAGCTGTACGCAATCGAGAATTTTATCAAGGATTGCAACCACGTGTTCCAGTGCGATTTGAATAATATTTCCCTTCTACGTCTTCCCGGGCTTCTGTAAAACAAGCAATTTTGCAGCCTTTGATATTTCTTTTGACTTCTAGCAACCTCGCATTCCAGCCATGATTAGTACGGTCGGCCTTCTCTTTCCCGCCAAGATTGTGACCAATAAAAAAACTTCCCGCTTGTTGATGGTTGAGCGCATTTAAAGTAGAAACACACTACTGAACGTGCTTCAATGCGAAACAGCTGGCAACATGAATGCGATCGTCTCCTCTAACCGGATCGTGAACCTGGCGCTCTTCATGATTCGTGAATCTCAACGAAACTAGCGCCCACGGCGCAATGTGTGGGAGCCAAGCCCAAGGGCAATCAAACCAGTCGACCCCTTCCACAAGAAGAGACAAAATGTCGCGGAGTCAGCACAGTTCTGAGAAATCAGAAGCGAGGAGAAACAGAAACCTGACTGGAAGAAGCTGACTTGGAGTGGATCGACCACACAATGCAAGCCACACAATGCCCCGCTGTAATCCCATCCGCCTTGCTGCCCCTTTTTTCCCGCGTCTCCTCGACTTCCAAGTTCCAACAAAAGCCCCTCGCCTCGTGCCTCGCGCCTTGGAGTGGCTGCGCCGTCGCGCCACGCCTTCTAGGTTCTTGCCCTTTCATATTCTAGATAAGACACAGACACACACACCAGCATTGTTATCCATTCAGCAGCGCTACAAAAGCATTCTACAAGCCCTCTCAAGCACCACTTTTTAGCCCATTAGCTTGAACCAAGACCGTCCCTGAACCTTGAATCAAATCAACAATGGCGTCCTCTGTGACTCTTCTCTCCACATCCGACTTTAGCTGCCGAGCCGCTTCCCGAGTTATCCGGAGCACGCTGGAAGACGTCGAGATCCGCGCGCTCGAGAGCAAGCTGCAGCTGCTCAACACACAGCGCGAGCTCAGCGCGCTTCACTGCCAGTCCTTCATCCAGATGCTCGAGTCCTCGCTCAGTAACACCGACGACGAGGACGAAACCAGTGACAGCGGCCGCCTTTCCCGCTGCTCGTCGCGCCGGTCCTTGGACCTCGGCACGTCGCGTCGCAGCACGTGGGAGGGGGACCTTTCCTTCTACAGCAGCTCCTCCTCTTTCTCCCGCTCCGCTTCCTCCCGCCGCCTCCGCTCCACGCGCTCGCACGGAGCATCGACTCGCCACCACTCCAAGTCGCTCCGCCGCCACTCGAGCCTCAACTGCGACCTGCTCTGAGCATCCATCGGCCATTCTGCTCCATTCATTGACCGGGTGCAGTATCGGCAAGCTGTAAGTTCGACATCGCCTCATGGAGGCAGCGCTGGTCTCAGCCTGCTTTCCTTTTTTGGCCCACAGCGGCCGCCTTTTTATGACGTCTGGGCGCTGCTAAGCGGCCGCGTCTGCGCGTCGGCAACTCTTCCCGTTGACGGTGACATCAACAGCCTTCGGCTCGGGGCCGCGTTTTACATCCTCGTGTGAAGCAAGAGCGGGGATGAGATCTACCCACGTGTTTTTTTACCCTCTCAGCGTCGCGCTGTGCCTTTTTCGACCGTCACTTTATGCGCGGCGAGGTGGAAAGCCAAGGAAGGAAACCATGGACGTCTTCGCGAGTTGCGAGACCAGAGCGAAACTACTACTATGCAGCATCCGTCCAGCGACGGCTTCAGGAGCCAAGCTAGAAAAAATAAATTCTCGCAGAGACTACCAACTACAAGCAGCCCCTGCAGCTGCGTGCCACTGCCTTCCGTTTTTTGGGGCGTCTCCGCCCTTCTGGAAGACAACGGCAACCGCATCTCTGTACAGCCTTTTTTTTTTCCTCTTTTTTTTTTTTATGGTGGACACGTGTATCCGCCTTTCTCTCAAGTGTAAACAATCTGATAATGTAATATCAAGTTCTCACATTCATAATTACAAAAACACACCGACACGGACACACACACACAAGGATCTGGGAGCTGAATTGGCTTGAGATAATGTCTGATTGAACCCTATAAGGAACTGTACATTATTTACACCCCTGGGGGTCTGCGGAACCAAGCTCTGTACACGAGACCTTGGGAGGTTATGGACGTTCACAGGTCTGGCTGTGGTGTTGTCCGGAGATAAGACTTCCCTGAGGGAAGATCAACCGTCTGTGGCACATCGCAACCCACCACCAACCAGGACGTACAGCACAAATTTCAAAATGTGGCATAGCTGAGAAATCCACATGGCAAGCTGGAGGGGTGTAAGAGAAACACATCGGGTGAGAGGTCCATACTGAATAGAAGGCTCACCTTGAAGCCCTTGGGGAACTTTTCGTTGGCTGCCTCGTTGCTGACTGATGGAGCCACGATGACATCATCTCCGTGCTTCCAATCCACTGGCGTCGCCACGCTGTACTTGGCAGTCAGCTGAAGGCTGTCTATCACCCGCAGAATCTGACACACAGCGGTGAAGATACAGGGGGCAGTGAACGACATGGGTGAGGGGACAATATGGGGTAGATAAGCGCGAAGAGAGGGCTGCGGCAGAAACGAGACATGACAGACAAACACAACATACGGTACAATGCTTGAAAACAAAGAACACTGCATGCGTGTGTTCCAATTTCCAAGCCATGCCATGTGAAGCAAAGCGCACGCACCTCATGGAAGTTGCGGCCAGTGGTGGCAGGATACAGGATGGCGAGCTTGAGCGCCTTATCCGGGCCCACCACGAACACGGCGCGCGCAGTCAGAGGCAGCCCCGCTGCATCCTTCGCCACGGGATCCAGCATGCCCAACTTCACCGCGATGTCGCGACTCGGGTCCGCGATTATTGGATAAGTGACCTGACATGGGGAGTGGACAATAATTCAGGGGAGGGCGGGACAAGAAAGCGTTGACTCCCAGTCTTGCCGGGAATCTTTCTGTTGCCAATTTATCCACGACCGTGGATTGCCATGTATTGAGGGAGCGAGTGTGACAGACCTTGACGCCTGGAGTGAAGGCCTCTATGTCGCTAATCCACGCGCGGTGCGAGTCAGCGCTGTCGCAGCTCAGAGCCGCCACCTTCACACCCTTCTTCGCGAATTCCTCTGCGAACTTCGCCACGCTGCCCAGCTCCGTCGTGCACACAGGGGTGAAGTCAGCTGCAAGAGGCACGCGGTGCAAAATCCGTGTCCGCCACAAGAAATCGACGGTTTAGAATCACGTAGCCTGACGGTGCACCAATCGCTACACTTTTCTTGCCCAATTTGTGCAAAGAGCAACACGCAAGTTGTGACGCGTACCAGGGTGCGAGAAGAGAATGGCCCAGCTGCCGTCGATGTAGTCGTGCCACTTGATGCGGCCCGTGCTCGTGTCCGCCTCGAAGTCCGGAAAGCGGTCGCCCAGCTTCAGCCCCACCGACCTGTCGTGAAGCGCCTTGGCCGCGCCTTCGCTGCAGGGTAGCGCCATGAGAAGGAACGAGGGGAAAATACGGAAGCGGTGTCGAGCGCGAGCTAAGAGACGAATTATGAGAATAGAGAGAGAGCCGTTGAGAATTTGCAAAGCGCAGACGCAGGCTGCGTCCTTGCCGCAGCGATAGACAGCGACGAGCGCACGATGCGTATGATACGAGAGCAGCGACAGCCACAGCACTAGCCCCAAAGCCCGGCGAACAACATTCAGAGACAGAACACACACCTCAAGCTTACCTTCCAGCCATGTTGCAATTCAGTGGCAACTAAAGGCAGTAACAGCAAATACCAACGAGCGGCAGATACCACAGATGTGCTAGCACGAGATGGTGCGGTGCAAAGAATGGGAATGAGGAAATATGATGGGATTGGTGATTGTTTGAGATGACGAATTCCGAAATTGCGAAACAGAGGACGAATTTCAGGGGTCTGCGATGTTTAGAGAGGCGAACGGGTCGAGGTTGGGTAACATCGAAAGCAACCACGACTTGTCAGACTGCACCTCAGTTCAACGTATCAAACCACTAAGCACCCTACTATGTATGACTTGAGTCTCAAATGCTGACATAGAAGTACCGTCACTAACCGAATCGGAGAAGTTCGTTGCATTGTATCCTGTACATGCAAGCCAGCACAATAGTCCAAATTCACATAACCTGCAGCAGTGAACCACGTATTGCATTTGTTCTCAAGTTCCACTTATAATGGAAACATTATCCCTACATCAGTGTAGTGCGCCTTGTAACATCCGCTTATCGAGCTCTAAAGCTCCCTCTCCACTCCCCAGCTTTTGACCCAGCTTTGAACAGCACTGTTCTCAGGATGCGCTCTCCATCTCAAACATCTGACGAAGGCTCTGTGTGTAGCCTCTGTCAGAATCTGTCAGACAACGAAGCAGACACACGGACACTCATGCGGTGTGTGGTGCAGCTCGGTTGTTGGGAAGTTTGTGCGTTTCCGCGGTGAAAATGGTCGTGATTTGCCAAATCGCGGAGCTTGGACACTTGCTCATCCACACAACGCGGATGCAAGGCAATCAGGCTCTTCGATCGCGCACGGCTCAGCGATCTACAGCATTGGATGCTGCATAACGGCGTCCGAAAATAGAGATTCGAGAAAAGCCAGACACACATCGGCAGAGGGGAACTGTTCGCCGTTTCATGCGCAACTGTTGCTAGAGTGTTCTCGTCTCTGGCTGTTCGCGATCCGCGTTGGCACAAGGAAGATCGAGCACATTCCAGTGGTGCATCGACAAGCACCTTGCCGCCACAAACACATGGGGCATCTGACTCCGTCGCTACACTGTGCGCGTCAGCAAGATAACATGAGCATCCGACTTAAGATTCAGCACAACCGCATCCAGTGCAAAAAAAAGGAGTCAAAATGGCAATTGTGGTTAGTGAGCATCATAACCATATAGGGAATTATGCCAGAAATCTTTGCGTTATGTAAATGGCTGCCCGAAACTCAGAATTTTTGCCGTCCATTCTTCCTGTTCTGGGGAACACATTTCCATACCACCCGTCCAAGGGGCTATCTGTCGCGTCAAGCTGGCCAGCGTGCTTGCAAGCATTGATTCCAAATAATAATGTCATGTGATCCTGACGTGCGTTTGGTGCAACAGCAACCGCAACGTGTTTGCGCGTCGATGGGGAGTCGTTGGAGGAATTATGAAGAGCGCGGGCTCCCCTCTCACGCCTCAAAACGGGAGCCAGAATGTCAGAACATGAAGCAGAGCACAAACCATTTCCGCTGCATTCTTGTTCCCGAACAACAGAACTACTCGCGCATCAGTTGAGAAGCACGTTTTTGCAATAAAAAGAGCAGCAGCCATTGATAATCGGAGTCGCTCCATAGTTCCATGTTCAACTGCAATGTGGATAGCTCTGTTTCTGCGATCACTCCCAGTGTAATCTTACATGATCCGGTTCCTTGGTTCGTAGTCTGAAGTTAGAACCACTCATATCATTGTGACGGGAGCTTATAACAGCTGAGCTAAATCCGCGAACGCGCTTCTTGTCTTCGCCGGATTCAACGAGACATTCGAGCAGAAGCCGCCTTTTCCGCCGACAGAGCACGCAGATTGACTCTGACCGCTGATTCCACATCCCCCAGCAACAATGGCGTCTGGAGTTCGCGTGTGCGTGGACCATCACAGTTCGTTAGACGACGCTTCCACGCCGCGCCTATTGGTGGACGACAGCCTGTCGCCGTCGCAGATTATCCGGAGGAAGCTAGAAGACGTGGACACGCGCGCGCTCGAGGGCAAACTTAGACTCCTCGACATGCAGCGACAACTCTCCGCCGTCCGATGCCAGCAGTTCGTCGAGATGCTCGAATCCGAGCTCCAAGCCGCCTCCGCCACGTCAGCAGCGCCGTCACCGGCATTATCACAGTCGTCGACGTTCCCGTCCGCATCGAGGCCGCATCGAACCCTAACGCGCCTCGGCTCGCTCGACCGCGAAGGCCGCTCCTTGTGGGCGCGAAGCCACACCAGCTGCCGGCCAATCATGGACTCAGCCTCCACGCCGGTCCAGAGATGCGGCTCGGTCGACAGATGCGGATCCGTCGAGCGGGAAAGCAGCGGCAGGGGATTCGCGAGCTGGAATGACGCAGAAACCGGCGGCAGCGTCTCGACGGGTCGACGCTCCCTCGACGTGGGTAATGGCGGCGGGAGCTGGAGAGACGACCTTAGTTTCTATCAGGAGCCGCGTTCGCTCAGTCGCAGTCACACCAACCCGCCGTCGCCGGCTAGCCGGTCGCCCAGGAGCCCGCGCTGCGGCAGCAGTCCGCGCCACGTCAGCCACGCCACGGTGCGGCACAAATCGCTGCTGCGCCACTCGAGCCTGCAGGTTGGGCATGCCGAACCCGCCTTGTGACTCCGCCGAATGTGATTATATGGAACGTCACTTAACCGAATGTGACTCAAGCCGACACTGAGAGTCACTTAGAAACCCTAAACTCGGCCTACGGCCGTGATACTACAGCGATTGTGCTTGAAACGGGGGAGCGGAAGAACAGCAGACAGGCGCAGAGGCGAGGTGTGCTGACGCTGCTGCTAACTAACCGTTAAAAATACTGGCGAACCACCCCATTTCTATGACAGACGCTATTTAGATGATCAAGCTTGTTAGACCCCTTGTAAATGACACCCATTTGTGGGTCACACCCTAATACAAAATGATTATTTTATCGTTACAACCTACACTGCTTTGGAAGAGCAACGGAACTTGTATGTAACCACTGAACGCAGGGAAAAATAGCTGGCATGCTTCTGTTTAGCATCAAGTGGAACGCACATCAAGCCACTATTCTCAACACCCAGTGGTGATAACCTCATGCAGTAGGCTCCACTCGACACGACGGTCGCTCGTGCGCGCTCGTGCCCGTGCCCCTGCCGCGGATGCGTCGCAGCGCGTCGCCGTGAGACGAGGGGAGCCGAGCGATATGCCGTGCGCATGTCGCGCTGAGGTCGTGCAGGGCGGTAACCGCAGCGACTGACACGCGTCGAGTAGATCGCGCGGGGAATGCCTCCGAGTCGCTGCGCGCGTGCTTCTATCGAGACGTCTGATAGCGCGTAACCAGGATGCCGTGCCGCTGTCAGCAGGGACCGTGGCGGGAAGGCCGGCTCGGCGAATCTGACAGCAGCCGCGACGCTTTTGACGGCGCCGTCTACGATGACGCTGCGCCGTTCATTTCGCCGTCAGAACATCCCCGCCGTTCCAGCGCGCCGCTCGGTTTTGGCGGGGTGCGCCACCTGCGCCATCTGCGCCTGCTGCTGCTGGCGCTCGTGATCGCCGCGGTGGACCTCCTCTTCCCCGCCTGCTCCTGGCGGAGCTTCCGCCTGTTGCGCGCAGGCGGCAGAGACTTTCCGCCCACGGGGAACGGGGATGCCTTAGCCCCGCCCTCGCCGTTGACTCCGTTGAACGCGTCATACGGCCACGTCAGCTGCTCTCTCACTGCTTTCCGGTGATAACCACTTAGGGGAGAGACAGCGAGAGGAAGACGATGGCGGTAGCATGATGGTGTGATGGTGTGATCGCATGGCGAGTCATGGGCGCCCCTTCTTGTTCTTCCCCTCCCTCCTGCTTTTTTACTGATGAATGAATGACTGATCCCCCCTCCTCTTTCCCCCCTCTCCTTTCCTCCTTCGCTTTCCCCCCTTCCGCCCCATACCCCATGTGACTCTGCTCGGTCATGCTCCCTCCACCACCTCCTCCATCTTATGGTGCTGTGCGGCTGGGAGCGGTGGAGAGCGGCAACAGGCATCTCAGCAGCATCCTCTCCCTCCCTTCGCCCTCTCCACACCTCCCCCTCTTCGCATTGCTCCTCCCGCCCCTCCACCCCACATCCTCCCCGCTGCTGGTACCACCAGTGGCCACAGCACCACTAGCAGCATCATCGCCACCACCAGCGCCAGCACCAGCGCCACCACCAGAACGTGCGCCTCTTCCTCCGCTCCCCCCCATTCCTGCTGCCGCCTCCCCTGCGCTATCTCCCCTTCCTCCACCCCCCGCTGCCCTGAGTCCCTCTGCCCCACCCCCGTTCCCCACTCCCACCGCTCCCCACTCCTCAGCATCCCCCCTTCCTCCGCTTCCACCGATCCCCCCTCCCCCTCCACCGCCTCTTGCTGCCTGCCCGCAGTCCCGCCTCTATCTGCCACAAGCCGTGGCAGCAGCAGCAGGGGATGGCGCCGCTGCAATAGCAGCAGCAGCAGCAGCAGCAGCAGCAGCAGCAGCAGCAGCAGCAGCAGCAGCAGCAGTACCTGCAGGGAGTGGAGCCATTGCGAGCACAGCAGCAGCATCAACAGCACCAGGACCTCCTCTGCAGTGGACGCCCCAGGCGCACAAGTACATTCTCATGCACTGCGACAGCGGCCAGGTGCATGCTCCCTGCCTGCTCCCCTCCCTGCTGCCCTCTGTGCTTCCTTGCCTGTTGGGCTAACTATTGAAAACTGTTGCAGTAGAAACTGGTTCGCTTCTCCCTTCCACAACCTCCCTCCAGGTGTCTTCTCTGCCTCGCCCCTCTCATCCCTCCCACACCTCGCAGATCAGCAACTGGGTGCACTGCATTCCTCTTTCCATCTCTCCTTCCACAGCATCCCGTCAAATGCTCCTCTGCCCTCCCCCTCTCCTCCCCCACACCTCGCAGATCAGCAACTGGGTGCACTGCATTCGCATGCACCTCCTCTTTGCCGGTCTGCTCAGCCGCACGCTGCTAGTGAACGCTCTGCCATCGGAGACCAAGCGAGCCTACAACTACTCTCTCCTATTCGACATCTCACACGCCCGCCAGTGCTATGGGCCCACCTCTGTACAGACCACTGAGGAGTACTATAACGAGTATGGCAAAAAGGTGGAGCTGGATCGGGTGCTGTGCTGGAGGTACAGTTCGATTCCCACTACAGCGCGTGATATGAAGACGTATGTGCATATACCCGATAATGTGAATATAAAAGGCCACGTATCCCAGTCAGCGGCGGGTACACTCAAGAAGTTTCATACCTTCTTCAATTCGCATACGGGCCATGCGGACGTGATATTACTGGGGGATTTATATAGCTACCCCTCTTTTGAAGGCTTGGAGCACCCCTTGGCTTGGGGCGACCTTCCTTTTCAACGGCTGCCCGGCTGCCCGAGCACACTTGCCGTGCAGCCAGACGCGCAAATTTTCCGGGCAGCCGAAGAATTCGTCCAGGAAAAATTCGGGCAGAAGCCGTTCTTGAGCTTGCACATGAGGGCGGGGGACCTGCGGGCGAGCTGTGAGCGGCAGCAGCTGGACGTGGGGTGCCGGCTGGGGCCTCACCAGGTGGTGGCGTGCGTCAAGAGGAAGCTACGACTGCACCAGCTGATGAGCCTATTCATTGCCACCAATGCTGGCCACCAGGAGGTACGCTTGAAAGGTGTGCTTGAGTGGACTCAGTACACACCTGGGGCCTCACCAGGTGGTGGCGTGCGTCAAGAGGAAGCTACAAGTGCACCGCCTCATGAACCTCTTCATTGCCACCAATGCTGGCCACCAGGAGGTACGCTTTGGAAGAAAACATCAGAAAATGAAAGGTTGGGGATTCCCATCGAACAGTCTTTCTCACACCTCTTATTTTGCCAAGGCATGTCCTTTCAAAATCCCTCAGTACAGGTGATCCAGCCCTTGTGAAACAGCCAGCGAGTACTCGTGACATCGCTCCCCTCCGTTCCCAACCCCCCACCCGACCCCTCACCCACCATCATCACCACCAGGTGCAGCAGGTGAAGCAGCTGTTTCAAGCCCGAGACCCCGCCCCACCACCGCCCCCAGGAGCACCCGTCCTCCCCCCTGGCCTCACCACCCAAGTGGTAACCGGCGTGCATGGTTGGCCGGGGCTGAAGCGGTGGTTTGGGGCTCTGGATGACACACAGTTGAAGCAGGTAGAGGCGGAGGTGGATAAGGCGGTCGCGGTGCGAGGGAGTGTGTTCCAAGGCACGTGCACGTCGACCTTTTCCCTGGATGTGGAGAGAATGAGGCTGGCCCTGGGGAGGGGCAGCTGCCATGATTCCTTTGTGTGTGATGAGGAGATAGCGGCGGGGGAGGTGGTGAACGAGTCAGAGAAGAAAGGGTGCCGCACAGAGTTTCTCTTCTGGTAGCCCACTGAGGTGTGGTGTCTATTCTGTTGCTCACTTAGTGTCTTGAAAGCATGATGATGGCCTGGTGTACTGAGTTGGCTGGGAGGGCAGAGGAACCAGCTTGGAGCTGAGCAATGCAGTGTCAATACGCTGCACGTAGTGCATATTACTAGTTATGCACCATACGCCCCATGTATCTCCCCATATCATACCTATCAATAATAAAATCACTCAGGCAATGAGGCATGATCTCCGGGTGCCCCGAAGATCCAATCACTCATCATTGTTGAATGCTCTCAAATGCAAGAGAGGTTCAGTTCACAAGCACAGCAGGGGCCCTTCTGATCCCAGCAGACGAACCAATGCAATGCAAGCTTCCCAGGTGCAAGGCAGCGCAGCGAACCAGCTCCTGAAAAGGGGCAGAACACGCCCATGCTTTCACTCGCAGGCCGCGCTGCCTCTAGGAGGAGGCAGGAGGGGCGGAGAGACTCTTGGAGACGATCTCATACACGTTCTCTGACAGCCCCTCTGCTGCTAGAATGCGCTCCAGCTCCACCTGGTGGCAGGCAAATTGGCAGCACAGGTATGAAAGCGGCCGGGTGAGGAGAATGGAGGTGTGTCAAGGCATGCGGCATGAGTGAGGGAGTGAGTGAGTGAGGAGTTTAAGACGTCTCAAGGCATGGGCACAAGATGTGCTTGAAGACGCTCTAACGCACGCACCTTGGCAAGCGCCTGGCGGGCCTCGTCGTAGCGGCGCCAGCGGGTGAACGCAGATACCATGCGAGCAGCCACCTGTGCGTTGATCTTATCGAGCTGCAACACCACATCTGCCAGGAAGCGGTATCCACTGCCATCCGCTGCATGCAGGTTGACAGCGCATGAGTTGAAGCCACCGATCAGTGAGTACACCTGATACGATTGGGGTGCAAAATGAGAGGAAGGGAGGGAGGAGATAAATGTGTCCGTCAGGAAGCGGTATCCACTGCCGTCCGCTGCATGCAGGTTCACTGCGCACGAAGTGAAGCCCCCGATGAGCGAGTACACCTGGTGGGATGGAGGAGGCCGGGATGGCGGAAAGGGAGGATGGGATGAAGGGCAGGCAGAGGGGAGGGCAGGGGGGGGATGCACGGTGAGATCAACCTTGTTGGTTCAGTGATTATGAACCCAGGGTGGTCAATAAGCCTCTTGACAGCGTCTGCGTTGCCAGGAACGGAGGACTTTAAAGGTAGGGGGTTAAGTGTAAAAGCTCAGAGTGGTAAATTGAGAATGGAAGAGCTGTGCATGTGGGAGCGAGCAACCTTGTTGGGTTCAGTAATGATGAAAGCCGGGTGGTCCATGAGCCTCTTGACGGCCTCCACATTGCCGGGGATGGACGATGCGGCCTGCAGCGACAGCCACTTGTTCATCACCAGCCCGTCGTGCTTCCACTGCTCGTAGAACGCCTGCAGCGCCTCCTCCCTGGCAACGCCGGGGTTGAGGCAGAGCGCGGCCAGGGCGGCAAACTGGTCCGTCATGTTGCTCGCCGCCCGGAACTCTGAGAGGGCGAGGGCCCGCGAGGCCTCGTCGTCCAGCGATGCCAGGTACACTGAGGGGGGGGGGGAGATGGTGGAAGGGTTTTTGGGGGGGGGGATGTGGCAAGTATAGTTGGAAGGGAAGGAGATAAAGGAACTCCGAAAGGGCCAGCACATGCAAGGCCTCGTCGTCCCTCAGTCCCACCCCAGTCCAGCCCCCTCAGTCCCAGCCCGTCAGTTCCCAACCCACCAGTTTGCACCCCATCAGTTCCCAACCCATCAGTTTGCACCCCATCAGTTCGCGCCCCATCAGTTCGCGCCCCACCCATCAGTTCGCGCCCCATCAGTTCGCCCCCCATGAGTTCGCACCCCATCAGTTCGCACCCCATCAGTTCGCACCCCATCAGTTCTCACCCCATCAGTTCGCATCAGTTCGCACCCCATCAGTTCGCGCCCCATCAGTTCGCGCCCCATCAGTTCGCGCCCCATCAGTTCGCGCCCCATCAGTTCGCCCCCCATCAGTTTGCACCCCAGAGATGCTAATGGTAGATTGCAACTCAGAGAAGCACAGATTGCAACTCAGAGGAGCACAGATTGCAACTCAGTGGAGCACAGATTGCAACTCAGTGGAACACAGATTGCAACTCAGTGGAGCACAGATTGCAACTCAGTGGAGCACAGATTGCAACTCAGTGGAGCACAGATTGCAACTCAGTGGAGCACAGATTGCAACTCAGTGGAGCACAGATTGCAACTCAGTGGAGCACAGATTGCAACTCAGTGGAGCACAGATTGCAACTCAGTGGAGCACAGATTGCAACTCAGTGGAGCCCAGATTGCAACTCAGTGGAGCATAGATTGCAACTCAGTGGAGCACAGATTGCAACTCAGTGGAGCACAGATTGCAACTCAGTGGAGCACAGATTGCAACTCAGTGGAGCACAGGTTGCAACTCAGTGGAGCACAGATTGCAACTCAGTGGAGCACAGATTGCAACTCAGTGGAGCACAGATTGCAACTCAGTGGAGCACAGATTGCAACTCAGTGGAGCACAGATTGCAACTCAGTGGAGCACAGATTGCAACTCAGTGGAGCACAGATTGCAACTCAGTGGAGCACAGATTGCAACTCAGTGGAGCACAGATTGCAACTCAGTGGAGCACAGATTGCAACTCAGCGGAGCACAGATTGCAACTCAGCGGAGCACAGATTGCAATGGCGTCATGGGTTGTTGGCTGCTGCTGTGGCTCGCAACTCACAGAGAGCAGCGTTTTTGAGCGAGCGGCGTGCCATGCTGGCGTGTTCAGGACTGTACGCCTCCCCTTCCGGTGCCCTGTTGCTCTCCACCTGAGGGGATGCATGGGGTGCGGACGCATGGGGGGCGGATGCATGGGGTGCGGACGCATGGGGGGCGGATGCATGGGGGGCGGGCGCATGGGGGGCGGATGCATGGGGGGCGGATGCATGGGGGGCGGATGCATGGGGGGCGGATGCATGGGGGGCGGATGCATGGGGGGCGGATGCATGGGGGCGGGCGCATGGGGCACAGTGCAGACAAACAAGGGACAGTGACTGAGGGCATGGGAGTGAGGGGCGTGAACAGAGGGCAAATGAGGGACGTGAGGGCACATTGAGCAAAGCGCATGAGCCTACTGATGCATCCCCCATGCCCTCTGACTTCACTCAAACACACCAAGAGATGGCTCCTCCACCGCATGCTTTTCTCCTTGTTAATCATCATTAATTTCAAATAAACGGTAGTGGGACTTTGAAAAGAAAGAAACCACCAACTCAACAGTGAGGACGGCCGTACCAGAGCCTCGAGCGTGGG